AAGACTTAGGACCAGATAAGCAAATGATAACAAACAAACAAAAAAATTATTGCACTATCTACTGTTATATTTCCTATAATTATTATTTTTTTTAACACACTGACATAGAACAGGTCAAATGAGACAGTTTCTTTCACAATGGATGTCATTGGAAAAGATGTTGAGGGAAAACATCCATTAGCTAAATAAATAAAAAAAAACAGTCTGGTGCACTTAAAAACTGGCTGAGTAAAATGGCACAAAGAGATCATTTAGATATACCTTGATTGGAGCCATCAGAACGGCATCGAGAGGAAAACATACCGTTGTTATGATTATTGAACACTTATTTTTCTCACCAATTCTCACTAGCTCGTCTCTTTTTTATTCCACGAGAGTCACATCACTCATTTATCTTCAGTGTGTATGTAGGTCAGTAAATCCGCACCAGGTTTGGGCCTGGAGAGCAGTAAAAATCTGAAATAACTGGCTAAAAGAAAACCCTGGAAGTGCTTAAATAATGTCGTCTAGTTAATGCCAAACGGTGTATTTGCTCAAATAGGTGGCAGATAAACTTTATTTGTTCGTGATGTATAATAAACAGCAAACAACATAAGTTGCTGTCTACAGCAGTACACACCAACGGTATACAGTATGTAGTACAATATACTGTTAAATAGTGCAGTGTGAGACTTTTATTTTGAAACCCACGTGACGTAGGCCGCTGATATTCAGACTTCCGCCTCTCCTCGTCTCTACATTTTGCACCTGATTCATCCGATGAAAACATGTACGAAGAGACTCTAGAGATGCTAATAGGCACTTCAAATACAGAATAAGTCATATCAAGCATGTTTTTTTTGTTTTGTTTTTGTTTTCGTTTGTTATTTTCTTTCTTAAACTGAGCTGCTGTGACTTCTTCTGGTCAGAAAAGACCAGATTTAAACCACACTCAAGCACAAGACGAATGGAGAACGTCACATAGGTGAAGAGCCCCTTATTACAAAAAAAAAAAAAAAAAATGAGACTACTGGTGTATTGGTCCCTGTTAATACAACCGGACCGACGTGAACGCAAGCAGGTAACCGCTTCGTGAGATGCAGTTTTAAATCTTCCCCACCAGGTGTCGCCCTGTCTACTAAGCAAGGCATGGATTGTGGATCCGCTGACATGATGTGGCCGTAGGTGGGTTTATTGTGGGTAAACATGCTTTACATTTCAACCTGTTGTTGAGGCGGAAAGTACGGAGGAACACCAGACATTTAACTTAAGGTACCTTAAGAAGTTTCGTAAACCTTACAGATTTTGTAGCCCTCGGTAAGGTCCCGGTAAATTTCTAGCAACGTATTCTATTTGTATTTTTACACATTTTCAAGTGGGTTGACGTCACAGCCAGAAGGTTTTCATGTTAACTCGCTTTGTTTGATCCAACACCAATAATGATGAATTTGGAGCAAGTAAATCTTTATTATGCCAGGACTTGATTAATACCCAGCCAGCATGCCTAGGTGGGACCCATGTGGGGACAAGGAGGGCAGACTATATGGGTCCCATATGGGTTTGTCCGCGGGTTCCACGATGGCCCCACATGGGTTTGCCCATGTAGGGCCACAGCCCACATGGGTGCTACATGGGCCCTAATTGGACAAAACCCATGTGGGCCCCCACCATATAGGGCCCATGCAGGGCCCATGTGGGCTCTGCCCCTACATGGGCAAACCCATGTAGGGCCATCGTGGAACCCGCGGACAAACCCATATGGGACCCATATAGTCTGCCCTCCTTGTCCCCACATGGGGCCCACCTAGG